AAAATACTGTTAAAATCTTAAAAATACTGAATTTAGCTGTTATATTGGGGTTTATGCGAAGACGTGGATGTAGCCGGGCCAAACTTTGAATACCCTCCACCATTTGGAACGTTCTTGACAATTTTCAAAAAAAATCGCTTACAAATTCTGTTATAATCTTAAAAATACCGAATATAGCCGTTATATTGGGGTCTATCCGAATACGTGAATCTGCATAGGCAAATTTTGTCATATGCCATTACAATATTCAAATACTAAACTTGAAAAAAAAAATCCGGTGAAAAAATTTTCTAAAATCATCAAAACACCGAATGTAGGGAGGTATCTATATAGGGGGGCTATACGAAGACGTGGACATGCATAGACAATTTCATGTCACAGGCTGTAGAACCCATTACGAAGTGAAAATACGAAATTTGAAACCATTCCGGTGAATGATGGCTAAAATCATCGAAATAGGGAACATATACAAGACCTGGACCTGCATAGACAATTTTATGTTATAGGCTGTAGTACCCAATGCGAAGTACAAATACGAAATTTAAAACCAATCCGTTGAATAATGTAGCTAAAATCATCAAAATACCGAACGTAAGGAAGGTACCGATATAGGGGGGCTATACGAAGACCTGGACCTGCATAGATAATTTTATGTCATAGTCTGTAGAACCTTTTAGGAACAATTCCGTCTAATAATGTCGCTAAAATCTAGAAAATACCGAACATAGGGAGGTACAGTTATATGGGGCTATACCTAAACGTGGATCTATATAGCCCATTTTCAATACCAAAAGTCCTGCAGATCAAACACACATTTAAGTAAAAGTAGTTTACCATTCGTTCAGAAGAAATATATGTATATTTTATGGGATCTAAAATGTATATTTCGTGGTGTTACAAACGGAATGACAAAGTTAATATACCTTCCTTTTTAAGGTGTAGTATTAAGACGGTGATTTGATTTCAAATGAGCATACCCGGCTCTGATTTTTTTTTTTGAAATTTGCCTTGTCAAATGTAACTGCATGGGATATATGTTAAGGATTTATGTGTGTATACGAAGGATATAAAATATAGATTTTTACATTAATTGTATTCAAAATTTAAATTGAAAAAAAATTAAAACTCATGTGCATTGGAGGAAAATAATTGGTAACTCCTTAAAAAAAAATACAAATCACCATTTGTTATATAACTCATAGAAAGTACATGGCCGACTACAAAGCCTAAGATTGTGAGTGCGATAAACTATCAAACGATGATAGATAGATAGATAGATAGATAGATAGATAGATAGATAGATAGATAGAAAGATAGATAGATATATAGATAGATAGATAGATAGATTATTAAGTCAATTGTTGGCAACTGAAACTGCTTACAAACACCCTGCCAATCCGTTATTAAGTCATAAACATAACATTAGTATTAACTTATTTCCAAATCACAATAAAGACTAAATAAATAAATAAAATACATTTTTTGGAACATCATACATAAGTTTGTTTTTATTTTTTACCACACATCATGTTTGTTGTGTTACTTTGCTTATCCGATGGAAGGATTGAACTTGTGATCTTCTGGTTTTTAGATGGCAAAGTGTAGGCAAAATAACAAGTAATGACGGCCTAGAGTTTGCAAAACCTAAGGTTGCTGGTTAGAATATCTTGGCATAAAAATAAAGCGAAATAAGAAAACATGTTTAGTAAGTGCTTATATCCTATGAAAATTGATTTTTATACCCTCCGCCATACATAGTATGGAGGGTGTATAAGGTTTCTTATTCCATTTGTAACTCCTCGTAATAAGCATTTTGGACTTTACGAAATATATATATATATATATATATATATATATATATATATATATATATATATATATATATATATATATATATATATATATATATATATATAAGATTCTATATCGATTTAGCCATGTCTGGGAAAGTCACTCTAGCTTCTCATCGAAATGGAGTAGATGTATAAAAATTTCTTAATATGTATTTTAGGTTCGTTGAATTTTTTTATTGAATATTTACAGACATAGTTCTATATTTTAATATAGCCCTCATATAACTGTTTAGACACATTGAACGAGTTTTGGCGATTTTAGTCACATTTTAAATAAATTTAGCCGTAAATTGGCAATATGTGTTCCCTATATGTAGGAAACATACTTTGAAAGATCCGGCCATATAGATGCATGTTAAGATAGAGTTTAGGTATATATCATATTTTGTAAATAGTTGTTAGTCCAAGAAGTTCTGCATGAAAAAAAAAAATAAAAAACAAAATCTTAAAAGCTTATTGCGTCGCTCAGAATCAGACATTATCGAAGATCTCGACCGCATTTTACGATAATATTGTAGGAGTTAGGAAGGTATAGTCCAAACTCCTTATATGGAGAGTTATATGTTGGCCTTTTGTTAGAGAGCAAACCTACATATTTTAAATTTCACACATAACTTAAGATTAATACAAATGTTTCTATGAGCGAAATTTGGAATAAATTCTAGACTTTGGCGGTCCTATATGTGATCTATAGCTTTTCAAAATTGTATTCATATATTTTTTTCGTTAAAGTATGAACCCCATTATTTATGGTGAAAATAATTAAAGATTCTGAAGTAAATCCATATTAAGTCATAGTAGTCTACCATGTTCACCGTAGAAAGAGAGAATATTAAATGTCGTATTTCGTTTGTAAAACTTCAAAATATTCGCCGGAGCCCCCTTGCAGTATATATACATCCGTGTTTAGTAAAAAATGTTAGATCGATTCAATGATATCCGTCTCTATGTCGGTTGAAATTAATGTATAAAGATATTAACCAGTTTTACCATGAAATTAAAAGATTTATATTTTTGAAATAAAATGCAGGTTTATATTCATCCTCCGCGCTATTTTAAAAACAAGTTAAAAAGTAGCAGTCGGTTTTGCCAACATATGTATACCCTCTGTCTTGCGTTGTGATTGTTCCAACTTTTGATCCTTTATGGGGGAGGTTTCAAGGGGGTGGACCCAATATTGTCCATTTCGTAGACGTGTGTGTGATATAAATATTATAAACAGCTGAGGTACCATATATAGCGGACGGAAGTATTCCACTTCATCTAATACTGATGAAAATATTGGTATTTGTAAAATATTAAATAAATCGAATATTTATTTCCAATTTGATGTGAATAATCAAAATGTTTAACATTTGTGGGGGTTGATACATTTATTATTCACATCAGATGTTTGGTTGAGAAAAACATTTAGACATACCAAGTTTGAAAAGAATCGTTGACTTGTTTCGCAAGTTATGAGAGAAATAAATATTGAAAATTGTTACCCTTTGTGGGGGAGGTGCCATAAGGGGTGGGCCGATATCTATCATCTTCGCCGCCAGATCTTGTATTAGTATAAATATTGGAATGTGTGAGGTTAGGAAAGAATCTGAGACTTATTACGTATTTTGTGAGAGATATAATTATTCAAAATTTGAATCCGTTGTGAGGGAGGTGGGGGAGAGTAGAACGATATATCCCATCTTTTGCAAAAGTATTTCAATTTATTTGGAATTTCATGATGTAACAGACAAAACCAAATTACATGGTTATGCTACTTCGTTCAGGTTGAACGAAAGCATAACAAGTGGAGAAAGCTGTAAATGTTTATAAGTGCGGTTGTAAGATTTAGAAGTTTTTCCAAAAGAATTTTAGTTTTTTTTAATTCTTTGGTTCCTCTTCTATTGAGCTTACGATCTCGTCACTTGGGTAAAAAATGTTTTTTGTCATAGAAGTTATTTTTAAAATAACTTCTGGGGAGAATATCCCAGACAAAAAACAAGGGAACTGATGAGGATTGGTGGCTCTTTCCGAAACCTAGGTATTCCCTGCCTTACCCCCTGGTAAACATTACCATCGTTCTCCACTAATAAACAAACGTTGTTCTTATAACAACAACAATAAAGGGATAAAGCCTGACCATTTTGCAACAACAAAATATAAATATTCAAAGTTTTGACCCATTGTGTGGAGGTATCAGAAGGAGTGGTCTATATCATATTGATACCAGATCTTGTGTTGGTAAAAATATAATGATGCGCGAAACTTGAAGACAACCCTTTTCCACATTTTATAACTATTCAAAATTTTAACCCCTTTCTGGGGGAGATACTTTATGGGGCATTGTCAATTCTCGCAACTGAAATTTGAACAAAATTGGATGATTCTTTCTTGTTCTATTAGGTAATTTTTTTGTGAATTTTTTTACCTTTTGTGGGGGAGGTATTAGGAGTGGACCGATCCGCATTCGATCTAAATTTAACAATAATATTGGATCAAATCCAAACATTTAGTTGGAACCAAATCAGATACTCCGTTCGAGAGTTATCGAGCGTACCAGCCAATCAGACGAACTGATGGACATCTCTAGATCGACTCCAAATGTCCTGAAACGGAATCGCTTCAAAGAGACCTTGGGTCAATTCGATGAGGCATGTTCTGGCCGTTTAAAATTGTCAAATGGTTATACGTAATAAGGAAAAATATTTAATAAATGAAAACAACTTGTTGCATTTCATTTTGAAAAATTCTGACAGAAAGCGGGCATAGCCTCAGAACTGTATTCCGTTAGTTTTATGAAGCTGTTATACCCTCCTTATTGGTAGTATGGTAGTATTTCTAAAATAGCAGTGGTCTATTAAAAATTGAAAATTATTATTTTTTCAAAAGAAAGAAAATTTTCCAACCAAAATAGATAATAAAATTTCAAAAATTTGAATATGTTTCGTACGAAACTTAGGGCAAATGTGATATGGCCTATATATTTTATGTGCCAATAATAGTACATTATTTTTTTACGACTTTAGAATGAAAAACATTTGTAATACCTGTTAACAAAAGGGATCGCAAATGAAAATGTGGTCAATATTTTTATTTAGATATTATCAATTTGATTGTGTTGGTTTTTTTTTTTTTTTCTAATTTTCTGTGTTCTTTCTTTTTCAGGTTGTGATATGCCGGAATGGAAGGAATTTTGAAGTCCGTTATACGATTATATCCACTGTATGCACGTACCAACCAACCACGTACAAACCAACTTTCAATATTGAATGTCGACTGTCGAAGGAGCCACTGGAACTCTAATTGGGTCAATAGGAAATCAAATATATTCACATCTAAAATTTTTTATTAATTCATTTCTTTCCTCTTTCAGATAAGATGTATTCTGTAATTCAAAATAAAAAAAAAAACTAACAAACTGAGGGAATCTCCAGGAAGTGATTCAAAAAATAAACATGAAATAATAAAAGTACTGTGATATATATTTCAAAAATAACCCCCCTTTTGTAAAGCATTGAGAGCAGACGATTTTGAAATGGTGCATATTTGACTATGGACCATTAACAGAAACCCGTAAATCCGAACTTGTGCTATTCTATTGAGGTTACAAGACCGGCATTATGGGAGTCTGTCAATGTAAACAACATATAAATGAAAAATACAAAAATCACTTTTATTTTTGTCTAACCGATAACCCGATAATCTGGGTCCAGTCCCCCAAGAGGAAAACTCCAAACCCCAGCCTAAAAACCCCACCAACCCCTATGAGATGAAGAAATCTATAATAGATCCTAAATGAAACTAAAGATACCAATCAATCAAAATTAATCTCTTCTCTTACTCACTCTTAATCTCTCTCTCTCTGGCAAATTGAGGTAGTAGGTTGTATAGTAGTCTCACTAAAATTAACATACTATACAACGTGCTAGCTTTCTTTGCTTGACTAAAAGCAGCGAAATCCATAGTCTCGAAATCTCAGCGAATTCAATGGACCAGTGAATACCCCTAATGTGTGTGTGTGTGTACGAGCGTGTATGTGGCGTGGAGTGGTTCATAAGTTCAAACAAAATTAATAAATATTTATATTTAGTTAATGTTATCATGAGTTTATTGTTGAGATTTTGGTGTTGTAATTTCTTGTTGATAAAATTTTATTGCCATTATGTATGTGTGTGTGTCTGTGGTTGTGCGTTAAAATTTTTTTTTTTCAAAATATTAAAAAAAAAAATAAATTCAATAAAATAAAGCAACAAAAACACATTTATTTTTACTAGAAAATAGTATGGAATGTTTGTATGGCTGATTCCCTGAGACCCTAACTTGTGACTTATTATCACAGTTTCACAAGTTTTGATCTCCGGTATTGGCCGCAAGCTTACTGTTTAAAATTTTTTGCAATGTTCTTTTTTCTGAATTTGTTTAGAGAAAAATCCAAAAAAAAAACAAATATTTTGTTAAACTATTTTGTTTACTTTTGTAAATATTTTTATTAAAAATCCCCAACTTTTTATAAAATTAAAGTTAATTTGAAAATACAGAAAATATTTTTACTATTGCTACATAACCTCAATATATTTTAATATGGCATATTCTAATAAGGTATGTATAATAAAAGTAAAGTCATTAAAATCCGTGCATGCTTAGTTTTAATCCAATAGAGATCGGTTGGGGATAACGTGTTTTCACATTTTTAAACTATTTCTGATTGGATTATAAAGGCACATTTTTGAAGGAATACCAGAGCTAAAATTGAAGATTTCCAGATTTTGAAGAATTATCGGATACTTAACTATTTTGTTTTTTAGCAATATTTTACAAGGACTCTCATAACCGTTGATTTTTATTAATATTTTTTCATAGCCATAATCGTACATTTTTAAGCAATGTTTAAGCAAATGTTTAAGGATTATGGGTTACTACAGCTATAATTTTTTAACATTTGTTTAAGGATTATCCCATTATATTTTGAAGAGCAATCACAGCTAAAATTGTGGACTTTTGAAGAAAGTTATTTGAGGAACTGTCACATCTATTATAATGGATTTTTAAGAATATCTTTAAAGACTATATCAATTATAATCCTGGATCTTAAAAAGATTTGTTGAAGAACTGTCAGATATATAATCGTGGAAATGTAAAGAATATTTTTTAAAGACTATAACAGCTATAATAGTGGAATTTTAATAAAGGGTTCAAGTGATTATCACAGCGGTAACCCTGAATTTTGAGTGGAAGTGTTTTGAAGGACTCTCGCAGGAAGTTTTTTTTTTTTGAAAAATTATATACAACTACCTTTAATATTTGATTTTTATGGAAATTTTAAGGACCTTCAAAGTTGTAATCATGCGAGTTGACAGAGCTTTTTAAGGATCTCACAGCCATTATCGTGGATTTAAAAAAATATATTTGAAGGACTATCACGGCTATAATCTTGCTTTGTTAGACAAATATTTAGGAGGAATAATAAAGCTATAATTTTGGATTTTTAAATAAAGTTTTTTAAAGAAGATTTTGTAAGGACTATTCCGTAAGACTATCACAGAACTATCAAAAAAAGCTGTAAGTTCGGCCGGGCTGAACTTTAAATACCCTCCACCATATGGAATAAATTTGGTAATTTTCAAAAAAAAAAAAAAATCCTTTAAAAATTCTGTTAAAATCTTAAAAATACCAAATGTAGCCAACATATTAGGGTCTAAACGATGACGTGGATCTGCATGGGCAACTTTTGTCATAAGCCATAACAATATTTATATGCAAAACATGAAAAAATTAAATAAATAATAAATGAAATAATTCCGATGAAAAATAAAAAAAATAATCAAAATACCGAATATGGGGAGTTACCGTAATAGGGGATCTATTTAAAGATGTGGACCTGCACAGAGAATTTTTTGTCTTAGGCTGTAGTATCCATCACGAACTTCAAGTACCGGCGAATAATGTCGCTAAAATCATCAAAATACCGAATATAGGGACGTACCGTTATATGAGGGCTATACGAAGACGTGGACCTGCAGACAATTTTCCGTCTTAGGCTGAAGTATCCATTTCGAACTTCAAATACTAAATTTAAAACAATTCCTGTGTAATCCAGCTGAAATCATAAAAATGTCGAATATCAGGGGTATCTTTATATGGGAGCTATACCAAAATGTTGACCTACGTCACCCATTTTCAATCTCAAAAGTCCTGCAGGCATATAGGAGGATTTTAGTTAATCAATATGTAGACCACATGTCGGTTTTTTGTCGCCTGAACTAGCATTGATTCTTTTCCTTTCTATAAGATAAATTATTATCTTATACAATTTTGACTTTTTGCCATAAACAGAGAGATGTGTGGCATACAGTTTTGAAAAAAATATGGGAATTTCATTTTTTTGTTGGCAATTTTGTTTATTTTAAAATCGAGGCAAAATATTAAATAATTGTTAAAGAAAGTGGAACATACTTCGGGCTTATTATTTTTGCAGTTTTTTCGTGCCTGTTTCTACTACCTGTTGCACCATAAATAAAAATTATCTTTATATCCGGACCCAGCTCATACACTCACTTGAAGAAAGTCTTTCGCTACAGTTCTATAAAATCTGCAGACTAACAATTGTATGAACCCAGTGGATTTTTTGCACATACATCATCCAACTGAGACCACTGACAATGTAGATGCGACTCATCCAAAGCCTGTATACAACTTCTACTTACATTTCCACACAACGATGGCCTAGGCCGTCAGACGAGTCCAAAATGTACCGACAATGTAAGCGAATGTTGGATTGGTCCGAAATCTACTGACATTGTAAGCGAAGGCTGGATAGGTTCGAAATGTATCGACATCCGATTCAGATGCAAGTGCGATGAACACATTTTATTTTATATTTTGTTTTGTTTTCTAATTCTTATGTGGATTTTGTTTCACAATGTAATGGTAATAGGACTCATCTAAATCGGGTGCTAGTTGTATGCTATTAACCACTGTTATTTCATTTTTCCTATTGACAAAATAGCATACATTTGGATGGGTATTAAATTGTGATGGCCAGCGGACTGCTGCGAACCTCTTTTCACCATCTACAATAACATTTCTGTTAACAACACACCTGAGTGTTATTGTGAAGCGACATCTACACTTGACAACTGAAAGTTTATTTCGCGTACATGCGCGCCTCTACATTTGGAAATGTAACATAAACAACTGGGCTGACATTTTTTGTTATATTAGCCAATCTTAGCACCATGTGTCAATAATCTGTTCGTTAAATCAAAGGTAGATGGCGCGATAACAGATAATGGGTTGTGTTACATTAACAGAGGGAAACCATGATGATGGTCGACCAGTTTGACGTATTGTAGAAACAAAGAGGAATAATTATACCCTACACCACAAGGTGGTCAGGGTATTATGTCTTTGTGCATTTGTTTGTAACAGGCAGAAGGAAACGAGATAGACCCATAGTTCCTTTTGATGATCTGCATAAAATCACATTTTGAGTCGATTTATGCATGTCCGTCTGTCCGTCCGTCGGTCTGTCCATGTATTTTTGTAAACAAAGTACAGGTCGCATTTATTGCCCGATCCAGATGAAATTTTGCAAAGATCTTTTGTTTGGCCCAAGGACGAACCCTATTGAAATTGGAGATAATCGGTCAAAATTTAGATATAGCTCCCATATATATCTTCGTCCGATTTGCCTTTTATTGTGCACCAAACGTGTAATATCAGCTCGAATTGTATGGAATTTTGCATATACACCCAAATTAGGCCTGAAAATATGTGTGCCAAATTTGATCGAAATCGGTTCAGATATAGCTATAGCTCCCATATATATTTTTCATCCGATTTGTTATTTTTGTCCACCGCCGCCGTAATATGCACTCTGTAACAACAATATTTGGGGAAATATATCAAATGCAGCTCAGAAATACCTTTGCTAAATTTTATCGAGATCGGTTCAGATTTGGATATAGCTCCCATATATAACTTCGTCCGATTTACCTTTTATTGTGCACCAAACGTCTAATATTTGTCCAAATGGGATGGAATTTGGCACTTACGACCGAATTGAGTCTATAAGCTAGTATGTCAAATTTGGTGAAGATCGGTTCAGATATAGCTATAGCTTCCATATATATTATTCATCCGATTTGTTATATTTGTTACCCACAACCGTAATATGCACTCCGTAACAACGATATTCAGGGAAATATATCAAATACAGCTCAGAAATATCTTTGCCAAATTTTATCGAGATCGGTTCAGATTTGGATATAGCTCCCACATATATCTTTATCCGATTTCAAATTAATTGTGCACCAAATGGGCAATACAATTCCGAATTTAAAAGATACAAATGCTTCGGCATATTTAGTCCTTTGAACTTTAAATTATAATCATAGCGTGTATGATTGAATTTTCCCATAAAAACTTTTAATTGTTATGTGGAGCTCTACTTAATTAGCAAAGTGGTGTAGGGTATCATAAAGTCGGCCCCGCCCGACTTGAAGACTTTCTTTACTGGTTTTCATTATGGTCTGGTGTATAGCATGGCAGAAGAATACAGGTAGATGCATGGTACCATGGTACAATGAAGAGAAGGTTGAAAAAATTGCAAGTATAGAGACTTGCCTGTTTGGCTTGTAATGTCAGAATTGGTATCAAAAAAATAAAAAATCAAACAACTTGTTGCATTTATTTTGAATAAATAATTGAAAACCGCGAAAACTGAATGAAAGGTCAACACTTCTTTTCAAAAGCAGGTTCTATATATCTCTAAAGGATTATTTCGCTACAAAAACTCTAGATTTTGTCGATGCATACGTTAAAAAAAACATTTTGAAAACACCCGAATTTGAATATTTTCTGAACAATTTTTTATTACTGAAACGAAAACAAATACATAAACAAATAAGATGACATATTAAGCCAAGAAAATAAAAAAAATTAAAATCATATTGTATCATAGCCCTACCTTGATATCATTGTACCATGGGTAGATGCATCAACGCTTGGGAGCATTTATATGTCGAAAAAAATTAAATGTTTTTTCAAATATAAGTAGATTTTTATATGTTTTCTTATACTACATCATTCGAAGGTTATTATAATCCGTGTTTTTCAACAATTTTTGCAAATTTATATAATTTTTCATTCAACATTTTCAGTTCCAAAATTGGTTTGACAGTTCATTGTCCCAGCAGCTGTGTCGACGCGTCTACCTATATTCTTCTACCATGGTGTATAGTTTGTAGCAAATTATCACAATCCTAGATATTATCTTTCAATTAGTATCAATTTTCGCAAGATGCTTTCGCAACTTACTCTTTTTTGTATCGAAGCCTTAAAATTAGTCAATTTTTGCAAAGCTCATATCTTTGTGCAGTTAGTTCGGAAATTTTGTTGTACAGTTTGGAATTTTATTCGGAATGCAATCTAAGAATATTCATTCTGAAGGTAGATAGGGGTTAAAAACTCTAACTCTCTGTCTAGCAGGGAGTCTCCACTTATTTTATTTTTATACCCTACAATCATATGTGTTGGTGGTATTGTAAGTTTGATTGGCCCTCGAAATATTGGTCCCAGGCCGATGATGTTCGCGATATATTCAGGGGTTCAAATGTACCAAAAACTGGAAAATGTTCAGATTTTGCAGTCGCTCTGCAGGTCTTAATTAAAGACCAATTCGCATGAGGTTATACTTTAGGACAGCACAGAATACTTGCTGTTTGGATGGACATGGGATAATATTTAGCGGACAAAATGGACCACAACTTGAATGCCTATATGCAAGACAGAATGCTTATATATAGGGCCAATGCTAAAAACGGACAAATTTTTGCAGGACTATGTCGCATTATTTAAAAAAAAAATCAACCTAAATTGGGAGGTTTCAAAAATATTATAGTGTTTTAGCGTATCATGTGGTTGTCAATATCGATATATAATGCGAAAATTTGGTCCAAGGTCTGGGACAGGTTTGAATCCCCTTTAACATACAGAATTGAGAGGGATATAGATATCTGATAACACTATGGCATAGAAAAATCCTTTTGGGAATATAAGGTCTTGCTTCGCATATTAAGAAATCTGATGATCAGATTCGCCGTGAGTCGAACATTCACTCAGATCGTATGGAGTTTTTGTGGAATATTTCATTCTTCTAAATTGATTATCAACCGCCCTACATTTCTGAGACATGAAAATAATTACCACAAGAAACCTCCTAAAAAAATTAATTTCCCATAATATTTTAGGTACGCTCCTCTAAATTATTTATTGGTTTCTTGAGAAATTTGGCAATAAATAATAATACACCGAAAATGTAAAAGTAAATCAGTTACGGAAGAAGTTGTTTTTTTGCGGGAGCACGAGATTAGTTTTCCGGAGATTTGGGACCAGAACCCCACAATCCTATATGACCCACAAATCGGGAATGTTTTAATACCATACACCACAAGGTGGTCAGGGTATTATGTTTCTTATGCATTTGTTTATAACAGGCAAAGGAAACGAGATAGACCAATAGATCCTTTTGATGATCTGCATAGAATCACATTCTGAATCGATTTATGCATGTCCCTCCGTCCGTCTACCCATGTATTTTTGTAAACAAAGTACAGGTCGCATTTATTGCCCGATCCAGATGAAATTGTTCAAAAATAATTGGTTTAATCCAAGGACGAACCCTATTGAAATTGGAGATAATCGGACAAAATTTAGACATATCTTCGTCCGATTTGTCTTTTATTGTGCACCAAACGTGTAATATCAGCCAAAATAGTATGGAATTTTGCACACACGACCAAATTAGGCCTGAAAATAAGTATGCCAAATTTTATAGAAATCGGTTCAGATATAGCTATAGCTCCCATATATATTGTTCATCCGATTTGTTATTTGTTAGGCGCTCTGTAACAACGATATTTGGGGAAATATATCAAATACAACTCAGAAATACCTTTGCTAAATTTTATCGAGATCGGTTCAGATCTGGATATAGCTGTCATATATATCTTCGACCGATTTGCCTTTTGTTGTGCACCAAACGTGTAATATTAGCCCCAATGGGATGGAATTTGGCACTTACGACCAAATTGAGTCAAATTTGGTGAAAATCGGTTGAGATATAGCTATATCTCCCGTATATATTTTTATATTATTTGTTGAATTTGTCCTGCATAGCCGCAATATGTACTCCGTAGTAAAGATATTCGGAGAAATACATAAAATACAGCTCAGAAATTCATTTGCAATTTTTATTGAGATCTTTGCAGATTTGGATATAGCTCCCATGCCCATGCCTCGGCAAATTTAGTAGAAATTGATTCAGAGGAGGATATTCCTCTCATATATAAGTTCCTTTGGACTATAAGTTATAACTATAAACATAATTGATATGATTTAATTCTCACAAATTCCCATAAAAAAAACTTTTTTTGTTATGTGAAGCTCTAATAAATATGTAAAGTGTTGTAGGGTATCATAAAGTCGGCCCCGCCTGACTATAAAACTTTCTTTACTGGTTTTAATTTCTCATTTAGCTCAAAAAAAAAATAAAAAAAACCACGTTTGGAATTGTGTACTGGATGTGCTACAAGAATGGCGTATCTATACCTATTATGAAAGCCAGAGTTACTACAGCAGAATGGAGGATTTGACTACTACCCTTAGGTGTTTTGTGCATATTAAATGTATTTTGTGTGGACATCATACCTTAAATATGATTTTACAAATTCATACTTAACATATAACTGTAATAACAACAATAAACATTTCCAACAAACAATTAAATAAACTCTTTTCAATTTTCCTAAGAATTATTTATTTTCAAAGCTTAAATATTACGAAAAAAAATTGTATAGATATATAATGTATATGTGTAAGCACGTAGATACGTTTGTATGTACTAGATATATAAGTATGTATGTATATATAGTAGATCATAGAAAATACCCTTAAATATTGGATACTTAAAGTTTTGATTATGAATTCTATATGTGTGTGTGTTTAGGTATGTAAGTATATAATGTATGTGTATTTATGTATGTAGATATAATTTAGTTTTATATTCGAATACTATAAATTAATATAAGGTATATTCTCATGTCTGTATGTACGACGATAGTCGTCGTTATTAAGTGATAATAAAACTATGCCTAGATTAGAATAACTATAAAAAATCAGTTTAAAGTTTTTCACGTTTTTTTGATATCAGAATAAATTCAGCAGATAGTTAGTTTTTAATTTAACTATGGAAACAGCTAACCAACAAGTTTTGTGTTTTGTTTGTTCTGTCTTTGGACGAAGTTACCAAAAATGGAGAGGTTGTTATGTAACATTTATACTATGTTGGGGTTGGGAATTCTTAAGAAGGATGCTATTTCCAGGAGTCTTTTTGTTTTGCAGTGATTGAAGCAGTTTTGTTTGTGGTGGGTTCAGCATTCTTCCTGTTTGCTTTTCCTAACCACCAGTTGAGATGAGTTCTCCTTCATTCCAAATAATGTTCTGCTTTTTAATTTTCTCTCAAAAATCTTGACTTAGTTTTGTTTACTTTTCTTTCCTAAAGATTCTTAACGATTTCTTAAGCGAATTTAACAAAAAAAAAAAAAACTTTCTTTTCTTCAATAACAATTTAATTGTTATGGACTTGTTTTGCTCTCTTCGAGATAGGGTTTCATCTCTGTGATAATAATTATAATTTTACTTTGGCCATTTATACCACCACCATTCTTCTTAGATGGGGTGATTTTCTTTACTGATGGGTACATTTATTGTCCTTGGATTTCTTTTTACGATCTTCACTTGAATTCGATCGTCGCGTACCTTGAATTGGCATGTAAGGAGGTGTGGGGCTTGAGTTTTGATCTGTAAATGAAAATCAAAAAAAGAGAATGTTAGTTAAATCTCATGGATCACATGTAGGAAGTATTATACATATATACCAAAGGCTTGTGTTTTGGATGTGGAGCTGTGACGTGAATTAACCGAGTCATGTGAGTGTATGGAATAGTTTTCAGATCTGAAAAGGAAGGAAGAAAAAATTACATAAGTTATTTTTATCGCGGAACACAAAATCACTCATACCTTGTCATTGAGTTTTGGGAATATCCCCCACTGTGCACCCCATTTGTTTGAATCGTCTCGCCACAAACATTCATGGATGCTGGCCTTAAACTTGTACTAGTCGCCAGAGGTTGTGTTGGTCCCGGGCGGCAACTATCGACGGGCAGTGTATAAATATCATCATCCTTTGCCAAACTAGCAACCCGAGCCTGTTGACTGACAATATCACGTTGAAGACTACCATTGGTTAGACAGCCATTTTGTGTGCGTTGTGTGTGTTTGAGCACATCGATGGGACTGGAATAGGCTTCCAAATCCAAGGGATCTTCTTGATCTTGCTGATGATATTGTTGTGGGCTATTATCCATGGATGACATGTGACTTTGTCGGACTGAACTACTTGTCGATGTCTGCATAACGTTGTCTGGATGTGGAAAGTGAACACCATTGCCATTCGCTAGATGGGGCTGTAATAATTGTGGTTCCTTGCCCTGTTGACTCTTGCGTTGTCTTGCCTTCTCTTTGGCACGTTTTGCTTTGGCTTTTTCCTGTAAGTGGGAAAAAAGAAATAATATATTAGACTGTTGTTATATAAAAAGGAAAATCAAAGGGGTTTCCATTAATAGGGTACATAAATAATCCACTACCAGTACTCGTAGTCAGGACTGTGGAGTCGATTCTATTAAAAATTATTATAAACTCATTTAATTCTGGAAGTTTTTTTCAATACGTCTTTATACCCTCCACCATAGCATGGAGGATATATTAAGTTTGTCATTCCGTTTATAACAATTCCGTTATACATTTTAGACCCCACAAAGTAAATATATTCTTGATCAGCATAAAATTCTATGTCGATTTAGCGATGTCCGTCCGTCTGTGGAAATCACTCTAACTTCCGAACGGAATGAAGTAGTTTGATAAAATTTTACTCAAATGTATATTATGTCTTCAAGACATTTGGTATTGAAAATGGGCCATGTAGGTCCACGTTTTGGTATAGCCCCCATATAATGGTACCTCACTTTTACAATATTTTGGTGATTTAAGCGACATTATTCACCGGAATTGTTTCAAATTTGGTATTTGAAGTTTGTAACGGATACTACAGCGTATGACAGAAAATTGTATGTGCAGGTCCACGTCTTCGTATAGCCCCCATATGAAGGTACCCCTCATTATTCGGTATTTTGATGATTTTAGCTACATTATTCACCGAATTTTTTATTCAAGTTTCGTTTTTGAATATTGTAATGGTTTAGGACAAAAGTTGCCTATGCAGGTCCTCGTCGATGTATGGACCCTAATATAACAGCAATATTCGGTATTATTAAGATTTTAACAGAATTTTTAACGAATTTTATTTTTTTTAAAGTTGTCAAAATAGTTCCACATGGTGGAGGGTATTCAAAGATCGGCCCGGCCGAATTTGCAGCTTTTTTACTTGTTTAAAATGAAAACTATATATAATATTTTTTAAAAAATCATAAATTTTAAATTATTTTCATTAAGGCCTCTATAAGGCATTCTTTGATTTTCAAGTCATAATAGGTTTTTTTGACAGCATACTTGGTAGTCAGATAGGTTAATGGCCGATTTCTATAGGCATTGATCTTCTTGCTGTTTTTTCATAAATTGGAATATTGTCTTTTGATAGCAAACTCGATTGTTAGATGGGCTTACTGGCTGACCTTATATAGGCCATGCTCAAGGCATGTATGACAATAATTTGACGATAAATTTAGTGAATTGAGCTTCTTTCCATTTCAAATCACAATAGGTTTTTTTTTGCAGAAAACTTGATCTCCATATGGGTTTACTGTTCGACCTTGCATAGGCCTTGATTTTCCTGCTGTTTTTTTTTTCAATCATAAATATATACAAAATGAAGATCGAACTCCACAGTTCTGCTTACAATTCTATTTATCAAATAACTACACCACATCTAAAACACACACACCCATATTCTAGTCGACGTATCCCTTGGAAATATTCCCGTTAGTGGTTCTAAACATAAATCGGATATGGCACGAGAAAAACTAAAACCCCGATTAATTGTTACTACACCGGGTCTCAGTATATCCCACGTAGTATAATCCATCTTGTTGGAATAGAGGTAGTAAAGCATTAAGGATAAAATTTAAAAAGTAGAACATAGGATTAGCATATGGAGATAGATATAGAAATATAACCGATAAGTGAAGCATATAATGCTAATAATAATATGCTAATAATGGGAAATGCTTTGAATGTTTTGGACTCTTAAGTGAACAATATGGGTCTATATGGATTCTATCGTACAACATAAACTTAACAATGGGGTGGTTGAATGACCATGTGAATGTCATCTGAGTAAAGGGTGCATCATCATTGGACCCTACTTCTTCAAACATGATGTGATTTGTGGAAACTACCGTAAGAAGATATCAGACTTTTCTTTTGCCAAAAATGTCAATTTCTAAAAACTTTCGAACTTCAAATATTCATAAAAAATCTGCAATTCTACCCCGTTTTCAGATATAATTTTTCATTTCATTTTAATTTTTGACACGAGAATTCCATGTGCAATTTGTAACATTTCACTTGTAATTCGAAAATTTAATTTTATTTGAAATTTTAATATGGAGTATAATTTTAAATAAAATTAGGGGAAGATCTTTTGGAATTGTCGAATATGTTTTTGTGGTGTTATTGTTATTAACAGTGTTTTTTTTTTATTTGTATTGCTTTTGGGCCTCATGGTGATATAATGGCTTTGGAAGATAAAATTTCATCATTATGGTATACTTTTTTTAACTGTCATGGTTTTCTTGTGGTAAATAATTTCAATGGGTCCCCTAATTATCCAATCAATTGTTATTTTTTATTTTCATTCCATAATTTGTTTTAATGTTTAATTTTATTTTAAATATATTGTAATAATATATGGTTAGAGTAGTCCATGTATAGATGTATTTGGAACCGTTCATGGCTCTATGGGTTAGGTAAATATATCTGTGAAAAGATCAAATAAAATTAGACATAAGAATCTCGAATTTCAATTGATATATTTCGAACTAAAAATGAAATTCTAGAATTACAAATGAAACTAAATGTATTGAATTACATTTTCAAGGCCATCTAATATTCTACCCATGACTGTAGTTCTGATAAATCCTTACAATCCTTGAATACCAGTCGTAAGTGCCTAAAAATTGATTTCAAAACATAAAATTGCAGCCATTTTTGTTGGATATGTGTCCAGGGCTTTCAAGACGTTTAAAAAAGGTCGCTATCGCTGCTTAATGGGAATCGATGTTGAATAATAGACGTCGAATTTTTATTCAATGAAAATTAAATAGAGGAAATTACATACCATTCAATAAGAAATTGTGACGGAAACCTTCTAAATACAAATACGTAAAAAAAAACAGTTAATTTCGGCTGGACCGAATTTTTTATACCCTCCACCATTTGGAAAGTAACTCATGTGAAAATATATCTGTAGTAAATGCCGAAATTCCAGGAGGTATGCGCCACTTCTAAATTTGGGAAAATCCCGAAAAACAGGAAGATACTTTATATGGGAGCTATGGGAAAACGTGGACCTGTACAGTCAATATTCTGCTGCAGGAGGTAGAATCCATTGTTAACTTTAATTACCGAATTTTTAGTTATTACGTTAGTAAAATCATCAAAATACCGGATATGGGAAGGTACCTTCATATGGGAAGACCTACGTAGGCAATGTTCTGCACCAGAAAATAAAATTGATTAGGAAATCTAAATACCGAATTTTATACATTTGCTTAGAAAAGTGTGACTAAAATCGTCAAAATATCGAATTTTGGGAGGTCCCTTCATATGGGGTCTATAGCAAAACGTGGAGGTATATTGACAATATTATGCCACATAAGGTAGAACCTATTACTAACTCCAAATACCAAATTTTAAGTTATTCCGTAAGAAAATGTGGCTGAATCGATAAAATATCAAATATCGGGGGGTACCTTTATATGGCGACTACACGAAAACGTTGACCGATAGGCAGACGGGAGAATGAAATCGACTTAGAATTTTAGGACAGCTAGTTTTTTCAAAAATATTCCCAAGTAAAAGGCTTTAAAAAATATTGTAGAATCAATTATTATGTCATCATCGAATATTTTACTCTGATTGATTTTAGCTTTAATTGGATTGTACTAGTTTTCCCTTATCACCTTTATCATGTACACCATAAAACCGGCTTTTCTACTTTTTGCTTATCAAAATGTTTTCTTTTCTTTTTGACGGAATAATTTCATACGAATAAATAAACTGAAATTTGAGCCTGCCTCTACAGGAAAATATCCATTTTAAGACTTCGCAGGTCCCCATTTTACATATGTTTATATTCGGCAGTTTAAATATTGAAGTCCACTGTGATAAGGATAATATGAACCACTATCGCAGCATATTTTAGTACCTCTCCGAAACCTTTTTTCTAATTTATAAATTAAAAACCTTGATAAAAACTTATTACTATTAAGATTTAGTAATTGTTCATTAGCGCCTAAAAGTATGCTCAAGAATTTATCATTTTCCACAATGAAGCTCAGACAAACTAAAGTAGTTAAGGTAGTTTTTGCTAATTGTCAATGACCTGTGTGCTAATAAATTATTTATCTAACATGCTCAAGAAACAAATATTCTTGGAAGATATATTTTTCTAAAAAGTAATAATACCCCCTACTACGTCTTTCCGAACAATGCGTCATTGATGTTACTATATAAAGTGTTCAAATGTTTAGTGGAATTTATGTAGCGGCGTAGCATGATTATCGACACATTTTCGAAAACTTCAGATGAACTCACCCTTTCTTGCAACATTTTAGCCAATTCTTTGTCTTGAGCTTCTATGGCCAGCATGCGATCACGTTCTTCCAGAGTCATGCCATCGCTAACTTCCATTTCTTGTAAGCGGCGAGCTAAGAGCTGTGATAAAACAAATTAAACATTAGGTTGCTGACTTATACACAAACAACTATCACGGCTACAAAATATTAGTACGATTTTAGCAAATGAACTGAGTTAATACATTTTTCCATCGTACGAATAATTCATGGCCTAAGGGCAGTAACTTGCTACTTACCTCATCTTTTTGTTCCTGTTTTATTTTGGCATTTAGCTCCTTTATTTCGCCCATGGGCAAACCAATTTCCTTTAGTTCTTTATAATCACATGGATCTACATACAACTCAATATCATCGGCATGATCCTGAAGTTGACGTTCTTTGGCAACGGCACCTTGCTGCTGCTGCTGCTGCAGATTATTGTTACCCACCAGACTGTCATATTTCTCGGGAGAGAGTTTCTGAAATTTATGCTCATTCTTTAGCAAATTTTCATTAGAGGGAGACATTAGGCGACTGGACATGGAAATTTTGCTAGCATTGTGCATGTACGATTGCGAGTGATGATGCGAGTGCGAATGTGCTGGTGATGATGATGAGGCGCTATTGTGTGATTTGTGCGAATCAAGGGTATCCGTCGAGGATTTGTTCATGTCATAACGTCTGATGCTGTCCGCAACATCGGAGTATTCAATAATTTCCTCAACATCGGGATGTTGGAAGGAAATGTGAGGTGGTGTGCCGCCGTTGCCATTCAATGACAGTGGTGGTGGAGTGTGCATAAAGGCGTGTGTATTGGGTGTTTTGGGCGTGAGTGGTGTGTGTGGACTTGTGGGTGTTAGGGGTTGCGGCATATTTAGTTGACTCTCAATTACATGACGCCACGAAGCGGACGACGATGAGCACAATGAGTTCATGGGTGATCCTCCCTTTGGTGGTGCTCCAGCGCGATATGTAAACGATGGCGACGATGAGGATGTTGGTGATGGTGATGACTGACTGTTGTTGGGCTGTGAATGAAAGTGTAATTGTTGTTGTTGTTGATGTTTCGAGATTAGCTGAGTTGGTGACAATTTACTATCACCACCTACCACTAAATTACTACTACAGGTGTTGGTTGGCGATCTCTGCTGTTGTGCTGGGGTAGCATGCAATGCTAGACCAACATAACAACCATCCGGGGCATTGGATGTGAAATGATGCTGTTGCAATTGTATTGGGAATTGTGGACTGTGTTGTTGTTGTTGTTGCGTTAGTGGATTGCGATGGCCACTGGGTGGTGATATGGACTGGTGTTGTTGCTGTTGGGTTTGTAACAAAGTGGAGCTTTTAGCTGGTCTGGGTGGTGGTACCTTGTTTTTGTCGCGTGCCGATGGTGGGGGTACAGGTGGTAAATTTACATAGATTGCCTGAAACATAGATATGTTTCAATAAAAATAATATACATATTTACAAAGAAGAAAAAGGGTGCGGAATAAGAGAGTGTGTAACCTACCTGCATATCCTGTGCAATTCTTTCACTTTCCAATTCTCTCAAGCGTTGCTCTTGTAAATCTCTTTCCAGTTTTTCGGCAATTTCTTTGGCCACACGTTTGTCATACTCTTCCCTGCAGGTAAATGAGATTTCAGATTGACAATTTATGTTAATTTTCTAAGGGTTTCAGATACTTACTGTTCCTTCAATTTACGCCTATAGGCCTCGGCTTGTTTTTCAGCCGTCTCCTTTTCCTTAATTTGCTCCTGCAAGGCTGTGGGAAAATCTTCTCTTACCACAGCATTGCGTATACGATTGCCCTTATAGAAATCGGTGACTATGAAGAGAAACGGCATTATTTCTAAGAATTGGTCTATGTTATGTGGTGGTACTTACTCTCTTGGGATTGAAGTTTATAGGCCAAGGCACCGTCCTCACGTACAAGCCATTCTTTGCAAACTGTAAAGCGAAAAATAGAAAAAAAATTACAAAATTAGTTTTTATGAATAGAAGACAACATTCTGTAACTGCTAAAACTAAAAAATATATAATACTAGCTGGCCCGGTCCGCGTTGCCGGCCCTTATTTTTAGTCTTTAATGCAAATTTTGCATAGCATAATATTTCACAAATCTAGCTCATAAAGGTGAACAAATTTTAATATAAATATTGATTTGACTAAATAGAAATAAATAACTATGGAAGGAGGGCAAAATAATTTCTGAATAGTCAAAGTTAATTACGCTTTTACACCCATTACCATAGCACCTCAAATTGCGCATTAGAGTCCCCAAAAGTCTATGTTCTTGTTCATAGTAAAATTCAATGACGATTAAACAATACCCGCGTTGTTGTCCGCCAATCGGTAAACATCACTATATATCGGCGGGCCTCGCGACTGTTCCAAAATATTTACGTATGTTGACATTTTTCTGTAAGATGGTTCTCTACTCACAAAGTAGCCTAAATACAGCAAATAATGGCCAATCAGTTGAAAAACGTGGCCAAGACCACGGTTACAGCTGAAATCAGGGATACATTTATATAAGGGTTATACCAAAACCGTGGCCCAACCAATATTCTCTTGGGGGTTACAAATTCAAAAGAAAACAAAATTTTCTTTTCTGACCACCAATTAGATGTGAAAGTGGACTTGGGGATATTCCAATGTGGGGACTTTACTTAAATAAATTCTTATGTGGCAATTATCTGTATGATGGTTCCCTACCCCAGAGTAGCATAAATACAATTTTTAGCCAAATCAATTAATGAATGTGGTCAAGACCAAAATGGGCCCTACTCTGAAAATTTCAAACTTTATGCGAAGAGGTTCTCTAGCTCCTTAGAAACAAAGATGCCAAATAATGGCAAAAATATTAATAAAGTGACCAAGACACCAAAAATAGCTTAAATCATACGATGGTTATATAAATATGAAATCGGGTTGTACCCTTATCCGTGGGTTATGATCGATATCATGACCTGCAAAAGCGATTTAAGGTATCTTGAATGTTTGGGAAGAATTTCTGGAAGGATAGAAATCCTTTTCTTACTAAGAGTCCCATTCGCTCTACTATTTTCCACCCTTTATATTTGGTATTCTTCTGAATGTACATTGGACGGATTATTGTGACAGGAAAGAAGTAGTTCCACGCTTTGAAATAAGCCCCATTAGGCTTTTTCCGTAATTTTTGTTTGTTCAAATGTGTTCGCATCTTCGAGCTGAACCACAATGTCGGCCCTGGAGTTGAAAGGTAGATGTCAGTTAACATCGTACTTCCCACTTATATCATTTTTTGGTGAAAATTTATATATAGTGAAAAATTATTCTTTATTTTGTTCACAAAAAATTTACTGAATTCAATTAGATAATACAAATTGAAAAAAAAAAATTACAAAAGAAGAATAACACATTTTAAAAATCTTCAACCTGTTCGCTGATTTTTTACAGCAAATGTTTAAAGATCCTTATATAGTTTGTCAATAGAATGTACTTCTATTTTAAAATTCGATTCCATTAAATTATTTCGACATCATCTATTCCGTTTCGCCACCACATAATTCGGTACTACACTTCCATGTAACTCGCCATCAATTTCATTTCTCAAAAAATCAAGTCAATTAAATAAATTGGTATTAATATTTGAATTCAAAAATAAAATATAAAAAACACTACAAATGTACATTAGAAAAAAGTAAGTCAAAATGGAAAAAAATCATGCAAAATAAAACATTACTATTGTACATTTCAAAAGTCAAAATGAAAATGTTAATATATCACATTTTTACGCGATTTTTTTGGATATTATCCTTTTCGGAGAGGAGACAATTCCGAATTTGTATGAATCGTTAAAATCAATCCAGCGGTTCTTAAGTTATAAGCGTAGTAACTAACACAACTTTCTTTTATATATATAACTAGCTGGCCCGGTCCGCGTTGCCGGCCCCTACTTTTAGTCTATAATGCATATTTTTTTAAGCATTATAGAATTATGAAAGCGGTACAATTTTTATTATAAGTAAAATAACTCCATAGTAATTTCTAAATAGAAATAAACATTCATGGGAAAAATTATAATAGATAATAATCTACCGTCGGTTTTAGATATTTTGAATAGCCTGATCTTATTTTTCAGCCTAAGGCTATAATTGAGTGTTAAAAACCTGTATGATATAGAACTTCTATAATAGCCCCATGTGAAAACTCAGCTAAATTTTTGGTATTGAATTTCCAATGTTAAGAATACCGTGCTGCGTGGTATTTAGTTTTGTCCACCTCATAATTGAGGGCGGAATGATTTCAAAATAGTCAAAGATAATTGATTTTTTACACCCATTACCGTGAAATATTAATTAATTTATTTTTGTCATTTAAATTGTGAGTTGGAGAACCCATAAAGTCCATATTTTTCATCATAGTATAATTCAATAACGAACAAAAAAATTAATATTCGTGATTTTTTAATGTTTCTGCCACAATTTGATATTTCGGAGTTTATGGCATGTAGATGTTAATCCCACATCTACGTTCCCAACCAATATTCTCTTTGGAGTTTCAAATTCAATAGTATATCAAATTTTCTTTTCTGACCAAACATTGGTTAGGAAAGCGGATTTGTGGGACACTAATGTGAGAACTATATTCGAATAAATGCCTATGTGGACAATTATCTGAGGGACGATTCTCTACCCTAGAGTTGCCTAAATACAATTTTTTAGCCAAATCAATTGATGAATGTGGTCAAGACCAAGATGGACTCTACTCCGAAAATTGAAAATGTTATGAGAAAAGGTTTTTACACCCTTAGAAACAAAGATGCCAAATAAAGGCTTAAAGATGAAAAAAATGTCGAAGACCCCGAACATGGCTTAAATTATATGATGGTTATACCAAAACATGATCATATTTTGCGAGGATGGTTTCTTATCAAATTAAAATGAGTTAAGAAAAATGTGGTTAAAATGTAAACAATACTTGAAATAGGGTTGTACCCTTATCCGGGGGTCATATATCATGACCTGCAAAATCTTGAAAGTTTAGGAAGAATTTCTTTCTTTTTTCCTAAATGTCCAATTCGCTCTACTTCAATATAGTATGTCAAATTGAAACAAATCACACCAAAAAGAAATTTTTTTTTTAATATTTTTATTGGATACCATTCCAAAATTGTATAAATTGTCAAGCCGTTTTTTAGTTATACCTTATGTAATTTTACCCCGATTTGAGAATTTTTGCAATGAGATCTCTTTTTTCAAGATTTTTAGAAATTTTGACTTAAATTTGGTGTGACCGCGTTAAATTATTTCGATAACATCTATTTCGTTTCGCCACCACATAATTTGGTACTACACTTCAATGTAACCCGGCTTCTATTTCAGTTCTCAAGAAATCGAGTCAAAATAAATTGGTATTAATATTCGAATCAAAAAGAAAAAAAAATATTATAAAAAACACTACAAATGTACATTCGAAAAATGTAAGTCAAAATGGAAAAAAAACATACAAAATAAAACATTACGATTGTACATTTCAGAAGTCAAAATGAAAATGTTAATATATCACATTTTTACGCGATTTTTTTGAATATTATCCTTTTCGGAAAAGAGACAATTCAGAATTTGTATGAATCGTTAAAATCAGATCAGCGGTTCTTGAGTTATAAGCGTAGTAACTAACACAACTTACATTTATATATATAGATAAGACTAAAAAATATATTTTAGAGCAAATTTTTTACAAAATTTTTTAAAGGTTATCAGATTTCAAAATCGTAGATAAAAGAAAATGGTATAGAACTATCAATTATTTCGTTTTATTTTTTATTTTATTTATTTTTTTATTTATTTATTATTTTTTATTTTATTTATCAAAGGTCTATCCTGAAGTATTATTGGTATGGAGTTATTAAGAAATATTTTGAAGGACTGTTACAGATATAACAATGGATTTTTTAGGAATATTTTTACAAGTACTGTCAGGGGGTTAATAATAATTTTTTAAATAATATTTCCTCAGAGACTAGCACAGCTGTAGTCGTGGATTTTCGCTAATGATTTTAAAGGGCTCTTGTGGATTTTTGAATAATAATACAGGGCGATATAAAAAAACTGCAAAAAAGTCAAACACCATAATTTTAAAATTTTATAAATTTTATTGAATGAAAGCAAAAAATGTCGGAAATAGCATCAAATTTTAGAATAAATTTAGATTTGTTCGAATTGGCCACCTTTGGCACGAATTATGGCCTTCAAACGACCAAGGAAACCGTCACACGCTGCTCGAATGTTGCTCTGCGGTATTTTGGCCTATTCCCGGCGAAGCACTTGCTTGAGGTGATCGACACTTTGGTATTTTTTAGTGCCAAACTCGCTTTCCAAAATACTTCAAACACAAAAGTCCAACGGATTAGTATCCGCAGATTTTGGTGGCCATTGTGTGCTGAAAATGAAGCGAGGAACCCCATTTTGTAACCAATTTTGGGTGGCGCGTGTTGAATGCGATGGTGTTGAGTCCTGTTGGAATGTCCAATTTCTGCAGCCAAAATGTTTGCATGCCCAAGGCTTTAATACGGCCTCCAGAATATTTTCGCGATAATATTCGGCATTTATTCTGATGCCACGGACGATTAATACGAGCGGAGAGCGACCATCGGCTATTATGGCGGCCCACATCATCACCATGGCCGGCGCTTGAGTTCTGGTGGTCAACCGAAGGTGCACATTTTCAGCTGACCTCTTTGGCAAGTAACACGATCATTTTGTTTTCTTTTACAAACTGCTGGACAACGAATGTTTTCTCATCGGAGAAAACCAAATTCGGCAGTTTACCACTTTCGGCCAAGCGAAGCAATTCTTTAGCTCTTTGAGTCTCTTTTCTTTCTGTTGCGGTGTAAGTTCTTGCACTTTTTGGAATTTCAATGGCTTTACCCCAAGTTCATTTTTCAATATTTGCCGAATGGA